GAGCAGGTCTGCGTTCCGAGTGGGCCACACGGAGGACGCTGAGAGGGACGAGACTGAACTCAGACTCAGGGTCTGGACGGGGGACCGATGGGTGCCGCGAGAAGCTACGTTCATTCACCTGGAAAACCGTTTCCGGAGACCGGCTGTGTTCTGGGGGCAGCGTTGAGGGGGTGGACGCGCTCTGGCTCCCCAGGGAGGTCTGCGGGAGCGACGGCCGCGATGGAGCTCCAGGACCAGCCGCGGGCCTGGGGGGGTGGCCGGGGCTGACGGCACAAGGCAGCAGGGCACAACCAGGAAGACCTTGCGGAGAAGATTTGGCAAGAGAAGGCTGGAGTTTCAACATGCGCGCAATGAAATTGTCCCTTTTTTCGCATGATGGAAATAATGCGCTCTGACATTTCTTTATGTCTAAATTAGTTCTGCAGAAAAGTATTTCTGAGGAAAAGATGAGGCACTTGAGTGATTGCTGCCTGGAAATTGTGGGGCAGAAGGAGCTCGTGCAAGCCGGGAAGGGCAGCCTCATTCTTTGGGTGGCTATCACTCCAGCCTACAGAGCAGACCTGTGGCCGGGGGCTGATTGATCTTGCCCTCGTTTGTGCCCCAGTCACCATTTATATGTTATCTCAATTATAGTATTTTTCCAAGAATGACATTTATTAGCTTATGTTTTCCTCCTGGACGACAGAGCTGCTGGAGAGCAGAGAGGCTGTCTCATCTTATCTGTCTTTGAACCCCCCAAGGTCCAAATGCAGTGTCTGGCACAGGGGAGGTGCTCAGCAAATATGTGAACGAACAAATGAATGAACGAACGAACAAGAGGGCTTATAGGCTCTAACCAGGTCTGGGGCATCAGGTCTTTACCATCATACTGCCTTTTCAATTTTAGAAGCACTAAGAACATTCCCTATTTCTGAGGTTCAAGGAGTCTTGACATATTAACCACTCTCTGACTTTCCCCATAAAATCCAGATCTTGTCCCAGAATTCACAAAGGGTTTTGACCCCAACTTCCTAGATTTCCTTTTGCCCCTGAGTCATCACACTGGTAAACTTTGACATCCACATAAACGACCCATTCAACACCCTGGTCAGCCAGTTCCAGGACTTCTGCTCAGTTCACAGTCTTTGACTCTCAACTGTAGTGACCTCTCCCCCAGAGGGCCCCCAGGGTCTCCCTTCCTCTGGAATTGCACCATCTCAGATCATAACTGCCACAGCCCTCCTCAAGCCTCTCCCTTCCTTCCCTCCCTCTTATCAGATGCTCACCCCCAGATTCCAAGAGTCTAAAGACATGAGATGGGGGCTTTCACCTCCAATTTTATCTGTGGAACCTTCCATCTTGCCCCCAGAGCACAGACGGAAGGTCACCAGTCTCAGAGTCTGAAACTGGTGCCAATCTTATCTTGCCACCAACTTTCTGGCCGTGGGCAAATTACTCAGTCCCTATGGCCCTCTGTTTCTTCAGCTGTACAAAGACTCTGTGAGGATCACATGGCATGTGTAAGCCCCGGGCCCGAGCATTTATTCACAATCACTCCATGTTCATCCTTCTCTTACTCCTCACACCGGGGCCCACTTCCTTCCAATCCCCCAGGACTGCGCTGTCCGGCTCCGGGATATATTAGTGAAAAGGCAGAATCTCTTTCCTGAGGACGTTTATGTTCCTCACATAATGCACATTTTATCAATTTACATGTAGGAAACGTGTAAACATCCTCAGGTGATCCTCAGAGGATCATTGTACAGATAGATGAGGTCTACAGGGAGCTAAGCAACCCCTCCTTGAAGTTCTTTCCCAGCTCGTGAGCCGCATGCACTACTGGTTTTCCTCCTCCTTCCTGGCTACCCACTGTCTACTACCCAGACTCCTTTTCCTTCTCCTTAGATGACAAATCAGGATGTTTTGACTCTACCATTTTAACACTTTTTTTCCTCGATGGCATGTCAATGGTATAAACAATACAAAGCACAAAGTCGATTGGACTCATAGGGTAGAGTTGGAATAGCAAGACGGTTCAACAACCCTGACCACAGCAATCCTAAAAGGTCAGAGGACACTTTCTGCCAATTTTCTCATAGATTAGAAAATAAGTAAATGCATGCCATCGATCTTTTATTCCACTCATATTTCATAGAAATTACAACGAAAAAATAAATATACCAATGGCTAAAACTACAAACAAATATTTAATAAAGACGAAAATTAAGAGTCATATCTTGTTGGGAATGCTGTCCTAACCAATAACTTAACTACCTCCTGAATCTTGATTTTAAGCATCTGATTCCCTGACCTTTGCCTCCTATTCTTTTTGCTCTCTTACTGTATTGCCATGATACCCACATTCCTTTGCCTCCATAAGAAATGTGTTTCAACTACTATTGCTGTGTAACAAATCATCCTCAAATCCAGTGGATTAAAACAACCATTTTATTCTGCTTACAGTTTGGGGGTCATAAATTCAGGAAGGACTCTGATGGGAAGTTCTTACCTGGCTCTCCCTTAAGGTTTGGTTATAGTCAGAGGTAAGCTGGGCTGGGTGTCCAAGATGGCTCATTCACAAGGTTGGCGGAATGTTAGCTGTGAGCTCAGCTGAGACTGTCACCAGCAGGTCCACTGATCTCTCCCGCTTGGTCGTCTCAGGGTACTAAAACTTCTTGATGATGGCTGGCTCCCACCAGAGGGACTGCTCTTGGGGCTGCATGGCCTTTCCTGGTCTACCCTTGGAAGTCACATGGCATTACTCCTGTCACGCCTGTTGGCAAAGCAGTCACAAACCTATTCACATTCAAGAGGGGGATCACAGACCCCAGCTCTCAATGGGAGGAGTGTCATAGACTTGGGGAGCTGTGTCATGAAGCCACCACAGATCTCAGTCCATTGACCATCTGCTTTTCTCATTGCCCTCTCATGAAAGTAACCCTCTCTTGTAGCAGCAACTTCTCTTTCTCTTCTGGATCATTTCCACCAGCAAACAAGCATCATATATCATTAAAGTAAAGGGTATATTCTTGTCTCTGTATGTATAAGGAATCCAAATTCATGGGGTTTACAATATTGTTATGCCTTAATGGAAAGGAGAG